CCTACTTACCACGCTGGCCAGACGGGTTGGTATAGGGTTTGTGTCAAGTTTTCCTTCTCCCTGCAGTGCTGTTGTCCTGCGTAGTTCGCTCCCTTAGTCGCCTCTTACGACACCCACGGGATGAATAGTGGTGACACTCTGTATTCTTTCGTCACCACACGGACACATATTAATGTAAAATACGAAATCGTCAAAATTTCATTTTTAACTAAAATATGTGATAAAATTATATATTATATTCTTAACATATTAAATTTACTAATAGTAAAAATATAAACAGTGAACAGCAACTTGATACTATTATGTTTTGTTATAATTGCCAACATGTCCATACATGATAAAGTTTTTAAATGGTGTAAGTTGTAAGACTGTGTGTAAGTAACTAAAGAAAATGTGATGTTAAAGAATGACTGCAGTGGCAGATTATTAAAAATATTATTAGATTAGGCATTTCATATAATTTTAAACATAATGTTAAATCACGAAAATATAATTTGCTGAAGTACAATGTTAAATGTAAAAGTAATGTACGCTTGCTACGTCCATACGTCTGCGATTGTGTAACTCATTCACAGCGTCATGCGTTACACTCACTGACGTAGCACTAAACCGCTTTGACGACACACCGTCTGAAAAAAATACAACCTGTTTTATATTCTTAACATTCATTTTATTCAATAAAATACCTAATTAATAAAAAATATCGTCATACCTCAGAACAAAAGTAATGTCAGAAGTAATACACACTATATTCAGCTTGGAATTTTATTATGATACACGTTTGTCACTATTTTAATAAAAAAAAAAACCATTTGCTATTCAAAAATATTGCTAACAGAGGTAGTAGTTAAATTATTGTTAATGTAGGAATATAAGTAGCGCGTCAATGTCTACACCAATGTGAAAGCTAATTTTGTATGGGTGCGAAATTCCTCCACAGTATTAACATGACCTTCGTTTGTGATTGTCAATACGTAATTCGTTCTATAAGTAACGTATTTAAACCATTTATATTGTGTAATTAAAGTTAAACAAACAATAAATTTCTAAGAAAAATCTAAACGTTCTATTCAACTAATAGTTTTCTACAACGTCTATGAAATTGAAACTGTAACGCAAATAAAACTTTCTGGAAAGATTGGATTTGAATTTTTTTTGTTTAGTCAAGATGAAATTGATTTTTGTTAAAATTTAAAATAGTAGAAAACAGAATATCAATAAATAACAAGCGAAATATAAGTATTATTTTTATTTGTTAAATACATCGTCGTCACATGTAGTGAAGACTTGAAGTGGTTACATCTACGTGCTAAGGCGCGCGTACGTCCGTTCACACTAAAACCACAGCAACAGTACAATGACCTCGTTACAGAATAGGTCAGTAGATAACTCCTACTTCCTCGCGGTAGTTTTATGACAATAGATAATAACAATTATGTGTTTAATGACTTAACGCTTCGATTAGGGACTCGGAAGTTTAAAAAATTCGTTGGCAAGGTAAGATGGCTGCTGGCGTTGTAATCGAAACATTACACTATATTATCCGAGACCCAGTTGCTTACCAGTAGTAGTACCCAGTAGCTTTTTGCCAAGAGAATTACTGCGTGATTTCTTTGCTGTTTCTTTTTCAAGTTTTGTATAATTTTTTTTGTTTTTTGTTTTTATCCGTTTATAGAAATTTGCATTTAACACGAACATTTTACTTCGATCTCATTAGAAGCACTTTCTCTTTTGATCATTTTTACATTTTATATCTTACTGTCCCTGCCAGTTAAATCGATTAATAATGACTGTATAAAACAAGTAAAACAGAGTATAATAATTATAATGTATACATGCTTGAGTACCATTAAACATTCAAATGTGAAGGCAACGAGATTAACCTCATACTTATTTCACCTAAGTATTATTACATGCCTATTTGTAACAAAATTATTTCCTGCAAATGTTTTATTCCGTCTTAAACTTAATTGTAATCGTAATCAAAATGTTTATTTATGCGGACTTGATTTTAAGTAAATACAAGACATTGAACTTGCTGTTACTTAATAAGTTTTTAGTTCATTTAAATTTACAGTAGAAACTACAATTTAAATTGCGAAATAAAACATCTGTAATTTTGTCTCATTTTATTTTTTCTCTGGTAATATTTTTATGTAAAACTTACATTTACAGTAAACGATCTTAATTTGTTTCTTGATATGTTCAATACCCAACTTCAACAGTCCGTTAAGGATGAGTTTATGCCTTGGTATGGGACTAGCTACAGAGCTAGCTAGCTATATATATATGTATATATATATATATATATATATATATATTTAAACCATAAATATGACCGGTCGTTTGCCTCCTTATACCATAAAAAAACTGTTAATTTAAAGGAAAAATTTAATTAAGCGGTAATAACTTGGCAACCGCCTATTCCAATTTACTGTACTGTAATCACTTCTGATCGAGGATTACTATAAGGTACACTTTAAAGCTCTTGCACACATAAAAGTTCGGCACAGTATCGCTGTATCATTCTCTCAGCAAACTGCTATTTCTGTTTGAATACAGTAGTCATGTATTTAACGAAAACATTCTACGCAGTATTTTACATAAATTTAGCTCAATGTTTGTCTTACTGTCAAACGTTGTCGTTAGAAGTTTGGAACTACGAGATTTAAAATTAAACATAATGATAACGAACCACATTTTTTTTATAACACATTAGCGGAAGGATCCTATTATTAGTGTGAGAAGTTCATTCATTTTCGGCGCGCCCCATATAAATTTCTTCAAATGAACTTTCTAAGTCCGTGTGGTGACGGATTAAGAACATCAGCACTGCAGAGAGAAGGAAAACTTGACACAAGCTCTATACCAACCTGTCTGGCCAGCGTGATATAGTAAGCCAAAACCTCCTTTCTAAGGAGAAGCCTACGTCCAGAAGTGGCCTATTAAAGGCTGTTGATGTGATGTGATGATGTGGACTTTCTAAATGAAAAATGGGCACATTCGCTTCTAAAATTAATGTCAATATAAGAATATTAACATTAATTTTTAAACTTATCTGATGAAAATATTTAGCTGATCCGCGCAACTTCATCAGCGTCTCTCAAAAGGAATATATTTGCCCCGTTTTTGCAACATTCGTCATTAATGCTCGGCTCTTATTGGCGGTAGCGTAATTTTATATAGCCTATAGCCTTCCTGAATAAATGGGCTATTCAACACTAAAATAATTTTCAATGCGAACTAGTTCATAAACTATAATATAATATTATAGTATAGTTTACGTATAAAACTCATTATTGACAAACATGTAGTTTAAAGAAAGAATAACATGTTGACGCGGTTACTAGTAAATATTAAATATACGAGTAGCTTAGCACCCGCCCAGTGTCAAGCGCGGCGCCCACGCCCCGCTTTCGTCTCGAGAAGAAGCCAATGTAAGATGAGCCATTACATTCTTTAAAAGTCACCTCACGTGTACAAGAGAAAAGGAAACGGTGGAGTTCAATTGTAGCGTAAACACAATCCTACAAGTCCCGGGTGGGACTCTGATTTTGCAACGGAATAATTAATTAAATTGAAAAACGAGTATTCTTAGTTGTGTGTTAAGTTGTACATATTTTACATAGAGAATCCTCAAAAGACAATTAGTTTACCTTGTGGCATACGTTTCGTTCTACTTTTTATTTCGGGGTTTGGTTTCTGTAAGGATATATCAACCCTTTTGCAAGTATCAGTTAAAGTTCAGTTCGTCTTTTATTTTAAAAGGTACTCGTATTAGTTTACCTTTACGTTCAGCAAGCACTCAGTGATAGCTAAATAATTATATTAAAATACTTTTTTGACACGAGATTAAATGGTGGTCGTTTACTTTTTGGGTTATTGGTATCATTTCATATAAAAACGTATAAATTTACAAATTTATTAAAATAAATTTTAATAAATTTGAAAAAAAGCGTGGGGTGCTTTTTACTATTGACTATAGGCACCAAACGCTTTTTTTTTCAAATTTATTAAAATTTATTTTAGTTTGGTTTTCTATAAAAGCGTGTTTTTTTAGTTTTTCTAAACTATTTTTTTTACATATAGACTTAGGTCACCTACAATTTATATAACTATACTAAAACATATTTAAAATATTTTTAATTGCCTATGTTAATGACTCTTGATAATATGGATTGTATAAAATCCGTCTCAACACGCCTGGGAAATGGCAAAGATGACTTTGAAACAATAGACACCGCCCGGGCAGCGGTTATTCAATTGTATTGTGTTATAGATAATTGTGTTCAGTCCAATCGATATAGCGCATACAGCGTACTAGCTAAATGAACGAAAATGAATTTCAGACAAACCATAATTAAATGTTAAGAGACAAAATCTTATATTCAGAAGGTTACCTTGACAACAAACCCACGTGTTTGTTTAAATCTGGAAAACATACACGATCTTACCACTGTTTTCTTTATTAAAACAAATTATTCTCGTCGCGAGACTATTAAGAGACTGTTAACGTTGTCACAACTACTATAAATCGCTCAAGTTATGGGGTCAAGTAATTTCCACTCGCAATTAAACCCACCATTAATTATTTTTAAAAAATCGCACCAATATGTTTAATGTCACATACATAATTCACTACGTGTCATTATTTACACATTGCATGATTCGCAAAACGACCCATCGCATGGATCGATGTGGCATTTCATGTTTCACTTTTTATTTGCTCATATATTTTTATATGTAAATAAATATTTTGGTTTGCCGATCAAAATTTCCACTCTGATTTTTCAAAGGATGATGATAATTCTCTCAATCCTCGAATAAATTAAATTGGAAATTTGAATACGTATTCAAACAAGTCTGATTGAAATTGGGTCTCTAACAGAATGCGATGATTTTATGAAGATGGCAGTTTCCCAGTAAAGAAATAGACTTGTTTGAATGATGTTATGTTGCATGCGTATGGCTGTGTAGCGCGTGGTCTCTGTTGCATGCAGGTCTAGGCGTTCTTCGCAGCAGCTGTCGAGGAGTGCCGAGAGCATCGACCAGACTTACAAGAGGTATTCACTTTTGGCACTTTTTTTGTTTGTTGCTATTTTATTTACCAAATCTATCTACAGTATTTTGCATACAAATGACAACATTTAAATGACTTACTTACTCACACTTCATACTTATAAATACTTGTCAATAGATTTGATACTTTTTTTTTATTTGTTATCAGAGTTTACACAATTTTGCATGGAACAGCTTCTTGCGTTGTGAGGCATGTTCGCCACTGAAATGATAAAATTAGACAAATCACTTAGTGATTCAAAAACCTATCAACGTTCAAGGAAACATATGGATGACGATTTACTAAAATAATGTGTATGTTTTATCATTGAATAAATTAACCTCACATGAAAAGATATTAAGGGAAATAGTCTAGATAATTAATTAAAACCGTTTTTGATCAACATTCATTTATTGTCCATGTATTTTCTGTAATGATAAGTGACTCATATAGATATTAATATTATTGACCTTCAACAGCCTTAATAGAGGCCAATCTTGAGTCTGAACATGATGGCCTCTAATAACTAAAATAATTAATGCAAAAATTCGAACTGACATTAGTGAGTGGTAAAGAAATTCATTAATCCTACACTTCACAACGTTAATATTTCCTGTTATTCAAAACCAAATGATATGATTTAAATTATGTACTCATGAATCTTATGTCTGTTTAGTGTTCGATTACTGCCAAATGATAATTGTGTAGATAGAAGTGAATTGTGAATCATATACCTTCTTATGGATTATAATGACTATTTAGTGATATCTCTCAGGTCATGTATATTGCATATTGGTGAGGCATGTTCTGAGGTCGTTCTATTTGCATCACTCTTGGGTGAAGTATTTGAGACATTAGCTTTAAGAGTGTGTGGCCAATACTCGGGCGTTGACCCCTTATGTTTACACACAAACTATGTAATAATTACACACGTGGAAAGAGGTTAAAAGAACCTTCATTAGGTACGGTACATTTACCAAATACATAATGATGTATATACAATCATATGGATATGTATGCAATGATTAACATAGATTAAGCATTTATGCATTTGTGTTTTGCAATAAATGAAAGGATACGTCAAGAAGACATTATACTATGTAAAACCAGTAGTGTGTAAGAAAAACCATAATAATTTGGTTTATAATTAAAATGCCTATTAATCTACTTTCTGAACACTAAACTAGTAAGATATTGCAATGTTTGAAAGTTATATTAAAAATGTACAGTACTTGTATGTATGCCACGAAATTGTCCCGGTGGGATGTGGGCCCGATTTTATAGTGGTTATTATTATTTTCCTTCAGAACCACAAATGATAGGAAATATGGTTTTGTCAACATGTTTTATTTTAAAATTTTGTTAATAATAAATAAATAATCTTTCAGAAGAACCATTATTAACCCAAAGTATACGAGGGCCATTAATATGATAATTTTTGTATTCAGCAAAAAGTATAGGCCTGAATATTATACATATAAAGAGCGGCTTTAAATTTAATAATACAGTTATGTAAATACTCATTATCTCTGACGAACTCTCTTATACACAGTTAGATTTGTTACCTGTATTTGTAAAAACACATACATCTACGGTACAAGGGGGTATGATATTGCAAAACATAGTTGTGTTAAAATGCCAAAACAAAGATAAGATTGTAATTTTTTAACATTGATAAATATCATTATATAATTATACGTATTACACATATACGCATATGCAAGAAGTATGTAGTTACGTTTAATAATTTGTAACACAATACCAAAAACAAAACGTTAGTGGTTCTAAAATACTCGTTCTAAAATGCTGAAAACAAAAACCTTAAGGGGTTTATTAAGTATTAAGAATTAAACACATTTACGAAATAAGAAAACATATGTGGTTTACTGCAAAAAAATGTCATAAAAATATCCTTAAATTAATTTCATGTATTACAGGTCTAAAAGTCGTTCGGTTGACCATGGCTTTTCACCGCCCTTCGACTTGGACGCACTGCGCTCTAAGGTTGAGGGAAGGTTCGACGCTGTACACAGAGGTAATTATCAATTTATTATGTCAAAGTTTAAAAATTAGGGTCCCTCCTTCCTTAGTGTTACTATACTAGACTATATTTGCTATTATTGTTATCAAATTGATGAAGCTGATGTTGATCAAATTGATGAGTTGCCAATATAAGAACAAGCGATTATAAGATGAAATTGCAATTCAATGAACAGAACATGAACGAAATATCTAATCTTGATAATTTTCGTCAACATTCGATAATATTTATTGATACTGGAGATCTGCCGGAATTTCGACCGTTTTGAGTTGTCTTTTATTTAAGAAACCAGGATAACTTGAACTGACATTTTATAGACTTTTATACCACGGCAGGTCCTGCGATCTTTTTTATCTATGCTGCTTGAACATAGATAAACGATGTTACGAGTTGACGAGTTACAAGTATTTGGTCCTTTTTCATAATCTTTGCTTCACACTATTATGAGATCATCAGCGCACCATGCGCAAGGCGAGACATGCTCGCAACAAAAACTTATTTCAAAGAAATGACTTAATTGAGTCCCATAACTGTGTTCTTATTAGATTGGCTTCTCATTTGCCATTACCTGAACTCATTTTTATCTATTGTTATCTGATTTGTATATTTTTTTATGTCAACTAAAGACAGATATTCCCACGAGTTATTAAAACATCCTCATAGAGTATTAATTTAAACGTTGTCCAGCTTTATTACTTCGCAAACAGTTTTATTGCCACTTCCATTGCTCAACACTTACCAACACGAAATTGTTGGTTGTTACGAAATTAAGAGCATGTTAAAACTTATACCTTTTCATTAAATCCTTACCACGGCGACAATTATATTTAGCGTACGTGAGGCGTACAAAATAGTTATGAAATGTTTCGGTCATTTTCCTTTTCCATTACTTTGCGTATTTATATTAAACTGTTTTGTCGTGAAAATAAAAGGATGCCATTTCTTACTTTAATATACGTACTCTTTAAATCATCACTAAATTAGTTATTATATTACGGAACCTATTAGTCCGAAAAGCTATGTTTAGTTTCATCGCCATATTTTTCTTTGTCCTTCACTTGCAAATTGATTCCGTACAGTAATCTTCTTTGATATTCTTGTTACCACTACTTTTAACTACTGACTTTCTATAAATATAAGCCATCATACTGATAAATAGTGGCTTTATTTGTTTAGATATATGTTATTTTTTTAGATAAGCTTATTTTGTGGCAATTAATAGAATAAATAAAAATTAGTAAACCAACAGCATTATATATTTTAACACACATAATCTATTCTTAGTATTCGAAAATATTATTGCGTTTTCTACACAGTAACATTATCGTCGAGGAATGGAATTTAAAATGTTCGTGCAACAAGTAACTTGCCTCGGATATCTCAATGTTCAATCGACCTACGAACAAAGTCGCACCAACTCATGACCTCCACTGGTGTTAGTTATATTTACCATACCATTTGTCCTGTAGATGTCTAACATGATTTAGATAATAGCTAAAGTAGCAACATTATAATATATTAAGAATATTTATGATGTTATATCGGAATGATGTAAATCCTTTAAATCAAACACCTATTAAGTAATTGAACTAAACGATAGCTTAGTTCAATTATAAGAACGGTTTTATAGTTATAAGGCTTTGACTAGTCTGTTTCGTTTTGTATTCTGAGGAATTATTAACGTAGATGTATAATAAAGTTAAACAATTATACAGAACAAAGGCGACATGAAAAACATCTGCATTCTCTTATAAGTTCTGTGAAATGTGTTCATAATTTGCGGCAATGAAAATTTTCCCCATCAGACGGCGATAACGTCATCCTACTTGTCGCGAATTATTCCTTGGCATCGCTAAATATTATCCAAAATTAACTCACAAACTGTAAACTAACATCCGGCTTTTAGCACACATCATTAATCTTGTAAATTCTATAAAACCCGGGTACTGTTTATTTCTTTGGTATAATTTTACTCCACATCATTTTGATTTATGATTTCATAACTAATAATAAATTTCACATTGAAAAGTTTTAAGCGAATCTTTTACTCTGACGGGCTTGTTGGTGTTGTGGTAAATAATATTGCCGCTCGAGCTAGAGGTCCTATGTCCGATTACCAGATGCGTTTCACCCAGGACAAATACTGGACTATCACTAAGCACTATCATTTGTTCTATCTGAGTGATATTCTCTGTAATGTTTACTGATAAATGTTTGTATTTACCAGGTTTATGCTTACCATTGCCGTCTATGTGTGATTATTATTATTTACTTTTACTAACTAGAAATACATACTCGTATAACCCATGCACTATTAAAATTAGCATAGTGAATCGGTTTTCGACACTTGATTGACAATTGTTAATGAATTATTAAACAAATGAACGTTCAAATACATGTACATGATTAATGAAAGAGCTGTTGGGGGCAGACAGTTTATTAGAAATCGTTTAAATCGATTTTGCTTACTAAGTCACTTAGTGTTCTTAAACGTTAAGTAACATTAGAGATGAATACAACAATATTATTTTATTATGTATATAATTAAAAACAAACAAGATAGTAGTAAACGATCTTTGAATTTACAATTTATAATTAATGCACCAATTAAAGCAACAAGATGTTTGTATCATAACCTACTCACTATTTATCTAGACAAAAAATTTTGCAACAAAATTTTTTTTTTTTTATATGTAGTTGTAAGTAAGAAGGTGCTCTTATAATTTATTCCGATGCTTTAAAACAAATTCGATTTGTGTTTTTTGTAAATCATTAAGTATTTACGAATTTAATAAGATTGTCTGATTTTGAAAAATATTTTTTATGAAAAGCCGTGTAGTATTTGTAAGCCAAATAAATAACTCCGTTGACATATTGAATTTTCGCACGATCGTTCGTCATATCGAAACGTTTATGATTTCATCATAATACATTTTGCATATATTATGGTCCATCAGTAGAACTACCACCCAACCCATCATTTACAGCGATGCAATGTATTTTATTATAAGTCGTGTATCAAGGATTTCGTAAGCCATTTTAACACATGTTCATCTCGTTTATGATACTTTACGAAACTTTATTTTGATTTTAAGTTCTGGTATACTCAAGCAGGTTTAGTAGTTTTGTAGCTTGCCCCTTTGTTTTTGTTTAAAGTGTACCTGCTGTTAACAATAGAACTATAATTTTGGTAATGTCCCAGTAAAATACGACTGTTTATTTTTTTAATTTCCTATAACCTGAATGATATACGAATAATAATTAAAAACAAGAAATTTATCACACACATATTTTCGTAAACTTCTTTTCTTAAAACAAACTGTCCTTTCCTTTTTATTCCTTTCATATATATGGATTTTATCATTGCAAAATATCGTGCTAATAACTAATACAATAATAAAATTTGCTACATTAAATTAGAAGTAAGCTTGAATATTGAATTACTCATACCTTATAAATCTTAAAAGTACCTTATATGGCAATAAAATATTTACTTTAAAAGGTTATCTCAATAAAAGCCAGTTATGGCAATAGCAACATTTTATCGTAGAGTGTTATAATTATAATTGCAGTAATAGTGTAAGTGTTAGGTATCAGTTTGATAGTAACGATTTTTTAAATATTTATGATTTTGTTGCAGATGAAGACGAACACGTCAAGAGATTACCGCCGCCAATTAAAACAATGACTTATACGGTTAGTAAACGTTTAGTTTTAAAGTCAGAAGTAAAAGTTAGTATTTAACGAGCAGCTGGATTATGAATGAGTCCTAATTAACCTATCGTCTGTAGTCTTAGATCAGGTGGAGTTACCTCGGGCACGCTGTCATCGCGGCGGTAAGACCCGTTATGGAGGATTGGCTCGAGAGGCGTCACGGGTCCCTCTCATACCGACTGACGCAGGTGATCACTGGGAAAGGATGTTTCGGGGATCACCTGTGTCTGATTCGCAAGGAGCCAACGCCTGAGTGCCACCACTGCGATGGCCAGACCGTGGACACGGCTCTCCACACCCGGCGTGCCCGGCGTGGGTTGAACAGAGGCGAGACCTCGTGGCGGCCATCGGAGTGGCAGTTCTCTCGCTCGATAGCCTGATTGCGGCTATCGTGCGGGAACGGGCCAGGTACCGCAGGCGACTCAGGCGCCGGAGGTCGCAGAACGACCTCCGTCCTCCATAAGCGCAGGCCTGGGGGTGACAGGTGAGGCCATCTGTCACCCTAGCAGAAGCAGGCTGGGGTGGCGGCGAGCGCGTTGCGAAGCGTGCTCGCTTCCAGGAAGCAGAGGGAACATGGGGTTCCCACACGGGGGAGTCGTCTACCTGTTGTTGTAGATGGCCCGAGGTATGTCGGGGCACCAGGGACTTCCTTTCTAGGGTATACCTGGTTCCCCGGCTATTAGTACCCGAGACGGCGTGCGGTTTTAGTCGGTTCGAGTCCAACATGCCACCGACAGGTGGTATCCGAGGGGATTTCCGCACGGAAAAAAAAATGTTATTAATCATATACGCAAACCAAGATAATACCTCAATTTACATTTCAATATTTTTTTTCGGACAAAACACACAAAGCCATCTAGTTTCAATCTAAGCTGAACTAGCACATATTATGAAAGCTAGATTGACTGATAGAATACTTATATGCTTTTCTTTTGTAAATACATACACACTGTACATAGAAAACACCCAAACTCCGAAACAAATATTTGCAGATCATACAAACTTTTCATCCGACCCCGGAATCAAACCTGAGACCTCAGCATAGTAGTCGCATAGGCTAGCACTGCACCACCGAGGCAGTCGAAGGCAATTTTAATACCATAATACATAGAGCTGTACTAGGTATACTGAAAGTCTTGAATCTTGTTCTATTTACGCAGAGTCAGGTCACATGAGATTTGATTAGTGCGGAGAAGGTTGACAGATGAATGCACGGATGGCGCAGTGTTTCAAGCGGTCGCCACGCCGCTTACACTTTGTGTGATCTACAAATATTTGTTCCGAGTCTGGGTGTTCTTTGTGTCCGTTTCATGTATGTTTGTAAAGTCCCCCGCGACACAGGATATAAACCTAATGTGGGAGTTGTCTTTAAAAAAAAAGATGAAGTTAAATCAAGATTAAATTTAGTATTCAAAAACCCGGTGTAATTTTGAAGAATGTTTATATTGGACACTGCTTCCAGTCGATATACTTAGAGACTCTCAACTAGCCCAGAATTTCTTCTTACCTGCCTTTCTGCTGCTATTTATAATTATAGATTATACATTCTCACACCGTTCATTGTCAGTTACCGTTTCTTATAAGCGGTCGCAATCAACGAAGTCTGCATTTTGGCATTTATTTGACATCACTTTAATTGTGGGAGAGCCTCGGCACAAATGGGCCGCCTTGACCGGGTTGGGATACCATGACCTCACATAAAACCAGTGTTAAGTAGACATGCAAAATATTGCTACTTCTAAATCATATTCATTTCATGAAATGATTGGTTTTAGTTTAGTTATTGTGATGTCGTTATAGACAAAGATAAATGGCATTAAAATCAACCCAATTTGTTTTTATCGAAGATTACGATCCCTTTTTTTACCTTTTGCGGCAGCGTAATAATAATTAAGTAGCAGTGGTTTTGTAATTCAGTCACAGGTTCCATGAAATGATTTATAAATCATACGACTTATCACATGTGATTGTGATTTTATTTTATTACTTACAGTACTTATTTCGTCGCTTTTCACCGAGTGAGTGAGGTTAACGGAGCAACCGCCTCTCCTGATAATGGCAGGGGTATTTAAAAGGCGGTAACGCTCTTGTAACTCTTGAATTTCAGGTGTTCGTGGGCGGCGGTAGTCACTTACCGTCTGCTCCTTCGCTATGAGTTCCGTCTGTCATCGCAACCTCTTACTTATTCTTTATTCTGTGTAATAGATGAAATAGTCTGTCAATCAAACTTATTTACTTCCTTAGCGAACGTGGGCTTCCACTGAACAGTGAAATACATTGTGTGGGAATCCTTGTAAGTGTATCTACACTACCATACCACTACCATAAAAATAATTATTTTACTACTAGTAAAAAGGTTTTAAATACTGGTGATGCTTTAAAATCAGAGAGTGAGCAATGAAAAATGGTTCATCTGTGTGAAAATTACAGCATATTAAATAGGTGAAGAATATACAGATGACGGTTTGAAGTAACGTAGAAAGGGCTGCAGTGAAAAAAAGCAGTATTATTGTAATAAAACACCCTGTGTGAAATGTGTTAAGTTACTATTATTGATTTATTGAGCTTAGTGCATATACTCGTATAATGAATTAATATTTTACTAATTACACGATACCAATTTCTTTATACCAACAAACATATTATTTATACTGTTTACTAAAAATAATTAAATACTAATCTAAAATATATTATTATTGTATAGGTTCGCGATCGAGATACCCTGACATCGCTAGCAGCGAGATTCGACACCACCCCATCGGAGTTGACAAAACTGAACAGACTTGCTACGCAGTTCATCTTCCGGGGACAAACGCTTCTTGTGCCCGATAAAAGAAAAGGTGAGAACTAAATTTTACTCGTTTGGTACTTTAAAATGGATAGTATAAAGGGCACTTCGGGTAATAGAAATCACTTTTTTTAGGAAATCTCCACTCCACAAATATTATATATTATACGAGGGTGGTCTGAAAAGTTTCCGACCTAACAAAGACACAAGACCTTTTTCAGATTTTTAATTTTTAGCATAGTCTTCTTGTAACTCTACACACTTCTCCCAGCGATGCTCCCATCTCTGTTACCCGTCCAAATAGCACTCGGTGTTTTTCTCTGCAAAATAATTGCTCACGAAAGTGATTGCCTCTTCAATTCACGAAAATCTTTGTCCTCCGAGCGCAAATTTTAGCTTAGGGCTAGATCTGGTGAGTAAGGTGGATGGTCAAGTAGTTCAAACAGTAATTCGTGGATTTTCGCTACGGCAACCGCTGAGGTGTGACACGGTGCATTTTCTTGGTGAAACAGGATTTTCTTTTTCTGCAAATGTGGCCGTTTTTCCGCAAGTTCTGCCTTCAGCTTGTGAAGTAATGATGCGTAGTAAGCTTCTATAATGGTTTTTCCTTTTTGAAGATAATCGATTAAAAAAACTCCATGACTATCCCAAAAAACAGTCGCCATCACTTACCTAGCCGAAAAAACAGTTTTTGCCTTTTATGGAGCCCCCTTTGCAGTCGTCTGTTTGGACTGTATTTTTGTTTCGGGCGTATAATGGTGTATCCAAGTTTCATCTACAGTAATTAATCGGCGCTAAACTCGGATTTATTGCGCCTAAACTGCGCCAACAGAGCGTTGGAAATGTTCATTCGAACACGTTTTGGTCTAACGTGAGCAAACGCGGCACCCAACGCGCGGACAGCTTTCTCATGCTAAATGTTGATTTAATATGTGACAAACACGTTCTTTTAACATATTCGTAACCTCTGCTATCTCTCTCACTTTAATTCGGCGGTCATCTAGCACCATTTGGTGAACTTTGGCGATGTTTTCGTCGGTAGTTGTAGTTTTTGGACGTCCCGAACGTTCATCGTCTTCCAAGCTCTTACGGCCACGTTTAAATTCAGCTGCCCAAAACTTCACTGTGGTACATGATGGTGCAGAGTCCCTATACACAGAATCCAACTCATCTTTGATTTGCCGTAGGCGTATTGCCTTTCAAAAAGAAAAATTTAATGACACCTCGATACTCGATATTGTCTATTTTCATAATAACACTCACATCAACTCACTCAAACGACTGTTATATAACAACTGCGCGTCCAAAATGACTGAATCTTTGGCGAGTGACTGTCAACAGATGAACAACGGAATTCTCTAGCTTTTATTCGCGAGTGTTGCCATCTTCGTGTTAAGGTCGGAAACTTTTCCGACTACTTGTGTAAAGTTTAAAAGCATAGTCTATTTGCTGACACTTTCAACTATTATAACCATATAAATATAACCTTAATGTTATAGAATATTTTCGTATCAATGACTTTGTTGTAAAATTATTCTATTTAACAAAAAAATGAGAATTGTACATGAAAATACATCTATATATTAAGAAATTATAAAAAAATGCAGGTATTTTATGACACATGCATGTGTCATAAGATACCTGTATATCGTCGTCATACTGGTGGCGTTCCCCGGAGACTAGGACCTACGTTTAATATTAATGTTAATTGTCTCTGCACCAAAAAGGCCCACTTTTTCATCATAAGAGGTGTCAACAAATTAGTTCAATATGAGGCAGTAAGTCAGGTTCTTTATAAACGAAACGAACGCTCCGACCCCTTTTCTTACTTACATTTGCCGAGATACATATTTACTTACATTTGTAGGTACTTCAGCGTTATATTGTATTACGTATTTTCATCCCAATCGTTAGAAATTTAATCCGAGAGTACTGCTATGGTAAAAGCGTTGGAAGATTTGCAAAATATATTACAATACCTCAACAGTCTCTTACATTACATATCTTACACTCTCTTATATCGCTTTGCCTTCTTCCACTCTTAGCTGGAGAAAAACCTGTGTTGGTCTAATGGATAACGATTTTTACTGCTGAGCCAGAATCGAATACCATATTTCGAGTGCCAGTAACAGTTTAATGACCACGATTATTTCTTTTGTGTCTGGGTGTAATTTATGTATTAAATTAAATATGTATATCATTAGTCTGGTCGCTGAGATTGTCGATCGTGAGTTGTCATGTTATTATTATCTTTTTACAATAATTGCTGAAAACCCTTACCTATTTTCTGATAATTGTTACTATATGATGTAGGTAGGTAGGCTAGATATCGGTGGCAAGGAAAATATCTTAATTACAGGAAGCGATTGATTAAATTGAATCGACGAGAAGATTCAGGCAATTATTCCGTACGTTCCTGTCTAGAAGTTGTTAATTGGAAAAGCTATTTTGGGTTTTCCTTAAATTGGCAAGTTGGAAAGGTTAATACTTCTGAATAGAGCTAAAGTTTTATTGAGAGGAATGCATAGACACATCTGGATTTCGTCTTTGTTGTAAAACCGCTCCTTCCCACTGTTTACGGACTTAAAGAGCTGTTTCACTAATGCTGTAGAACTTCTTTAACAATTGAATTGCATCAATACCATTACGACGAACAATGGGCAAGCAATTACTAATACCTATTAAATTCTATGAGAACGTGATCACGAAAAATGTTTCGCTTAATATATGCTTACGGTTAATATATTATGTATTCATCTTACATCGTAATTAGTTAAAACAATATCCCTCGTGCCAAACTAAACCTTAAGACAGTATAAGGTCAACATGAAGGTTATTTAAAATACAATTTAAAAAGTTAAAAACTGTACGTAAATAACAATTATGTTGAGAAAGACACTACTTTAAAAATGCCAAGTCAAGTTACCGTTGCGTCGTATAGATGTGTATGGTCCACCGAACGTCTTTGACAGGACGACATGTATGTGTTTAGTACTACAGGAAGGACACCTCTGGTATTGTAAGCTTCTAGGGGCACACAGAACTACCGAGTTTGCTGCTTTTTGCTTTAAGCCTATACCTAAATTGATGGATAAAATGTACTCCATGAGCAATAATAGTTAGGATTGGATAATAATTTCTTAGGAGATTACACATTTCACTTAATTGTAATTACACCGGTGTTTTTTTGGTCTCTACTCCGCTTTCAAGCCAAAACTTGATGTTCAATAGACTGTAAACTTCTTCAATAAATGGACTATCAAATGCAATAATATTTGTAAGTTAATTTTGGTACCTTTAGAGTTCAACACATTCAATAATATGTTGCACATACAAATATAAGTTAAAAAACTAATAAGGGTTGTGTATGAATAAATTTATTTGGTTGGTTAAATTTTATACAAACGATCTTCAAATATCAATCACGTATATGGACGTAGTGTAAATATAGTTAATCGAAGCCGGTTTGTCAATAAATTTATATTGCTCGTTACATGTTATACATTAGTCTATATTCTGGTATCACATGTATCATAAAGTAAGTATACTATCGTCACGAATAAGCAGCAGCATAAACTAAAATTAATTTAATTAAATTTCTGAATTAGGGCAATCAGTAAAATTCCCAGACGCTGTCGAAGTCGCATGTGTTGCCCCCAGAAGCTGAATTTTTGTATGAAATTTAGGGATACCATTATAATGAAATTGTAAAAAGACCCCAGCGATCCCATGTGTGCAAAACATTTTATGAAAGGTAAAAGTTTACAAAAATGGGTTTTTTGGATTTTTTTGCGAAACGGTGGGTTTTATGATAAACATAGGTCAAACAAAAATGTAGATTAAATAAATGATCTACATTTTTGTCTGACCTCTATATATATGTATATAAAACATTAATTCAATTATTTAAACTCGATTATTATTATTTTAAAACAAAAAAAACTTAATTTCTAGAGCACCTACCCAGACATTTCCCTACCACAAAGGTCGCCTGGGAGAAAATGCCTGTGGCATTAAATCCATTGTACAATTAATTTGTAATTTGTGCATAAAGAATTAAATAAATATATCTGTATCTGTAAAAATGCAGATTAAATTGTTTCTATCTTCTCGCCCATGAATACTGGTGATGTTACTCACCAACTAAAAGTAGACTACGTAAGTGTTTAATGTCGTCATCTACTAGTGACTATTTTCTTTTCTATTTCATTTCTAAATCAAATATTTTTCGTATGAAGTTTTAATATATGAGGTTTAAAAAATAAATTTCAGCATATTGAATTAATACGGTTATCGTAATCATAGGTTGAGTGACAATCATTATTGTAACCCTTGGTTTTTCGTACGTGTACAAATCTTGGCAGTTTAAAATTATTTTTCTATATATTTAAGTTTTTTCTACACAAATGAGATTAAATTATTATATACAATTGTAATCGCGATTAATAAATATAAAAACTTGTTTGATAAAAATATTTTCTGTCCACTACTGTCTCTTTTGAAAATGAGCGTTACAAATTACCAGTGAGTAACGATGTGATAGCTAATTATGTTTTAATTTTCGGGAACTAAACTAGGTAATGTTTGAAATTAAATCTGAACATTGTTACGTAACTACTTAAAACTTTACCTGGTTTTATTTTGTATAGTCATCAGATATTACTGGTAATACCATAAAAGTGCCGAATGCTGTCAGGGGCGGCGAAAGAATGCAATTGCGATTCTCGCTCCCCCGGGCCATTGGCAAGGAGAGGAACACCGAGGTGGTTGTTAGTCGGTAAGAGTCCGACAGACCCCTTCGCTGTCCCCCACTGGGCGAAGGACATCCATGAGGATCTTCCACCCCACTAACAAAAAAAAGGCTCTTCTAATCGAACGTGTGATGTGTGTTGGTCTTGAGATTTGAATTTTGTCATTTTAAAGTGGAAAGTCAAAAAACACGTATCGCTGCTTAAAAACCGCATTAATCAAGGTGGCGAGGTCAATTTTCAAACAAACAATTTAATCCCTACTAATATTATAAATGCGAAAGTAACACTGCCTAAACTTTGGCATGGAGATACTTTGATTCTTAAGTAAGGACGGAAGGTAAAAGAAGTTTTAACTTATTTTTTATAACTAAGTTGACAGTCAATTACTGCTTGCGTGATATAAGGCATTAATCGGTGTTCACAAATACTTTTTAACACAGTTGTTGTGACACGTGTTCGGTGGAAAACGCTAATGATGCTAGCTAACACCGGTTGGCATCATGGAGTTACTAAGCTTGAATTCTACTCTTAGAATTAACCTGTAGCCAATTAGGTTGTCTGTAACGATGTTCAGAAAAAAAATAGAATACAACAACAGGGTATTACCCGCTTATCGGAATGGTGTATTATCATAGGTACTTGCAGGAAAGTAAGAAATGTATTTCTACACTTCATTTTGATCAATTACGTTGACCGACATCTCTTTACCGACCATTAACGTAATCAAGTCAGCTTCGATAACGTTTATACATCTGAATGGTCTGCCTACTTCTCATGTAAGTTACTCTCCTCTGGACTTTGGAAAATAAAGAAATCAACATGGCCAACAATATTCCACAAAAGGAACATACCGTTTTTTTAACAAGCTTAGTAAATACATATTCATAGTATACTCGTATGTACATACATATTCAGATAAACAAAGCACATAGATATTAATTTAAAAAGTAAATATAAAATAAATAAACGAAAGATTAAGGGTGAGTGTTTTAACACAGATTTTCTTTCCTATGTAAATTTGAAATGAACCCTGACCTCCAAAAGATCCGACTTGAAATAAATCTTATTGGAATGGATAGAATCAGACTTTATTAAACAAAGTATCTTCACACATAACTGACACCTACGTTAATTACAAAAGAATTTATTTACTGTCGAATATTATTTGCGACGGACCATTTCATTGAGAAAACACCTTACGAAACGCGGCCTTCATTATTGTTCAATGATTTTGCAATAATAAGACCTGAAAGTGTTGTATCGCGTTGGTTTACTTGCAGTTCGTTTCCTACTAATGGTTTAGTTGTAATCAAACCGTGATGATTTAAACATGCAAGGTATATAGCAGACTATCTTCAAAGCTCTAGTGTAGTCGTATAACATCTACCAACAATTTTAATATTTCAAGTAATTTATGTACATGACGTATGAATACACCTAGCCTACTTAAATCGTCTATTTGGGTATCAAAAAAAATTAACCTAAAATAAACAAAAATTTAGTAGGTACTTCACATGTATACGAGGGCATCTAATAAACTACATATAATTTACATCTTTTAAGATGGATCGTATAATACCGACGTGGTTTACTTTAAAAATGTTATGGCTCATATATTTAAGAAAATGAGGTTTTTATGATTAAATACATTACAATACCGTGTTTATATTTTATATTTTTAACTAGTCAGGGTAAATATAACATTACCGAATATGACTTTGATAGTGCAAGTGATTCATAAAATCGGTATTATTTGTATACTTGAAAATTACCGTTTGCTGAAAAGTTAAACGTCAATAATCTTGGCTGAGACTTATCCATGACATTGTTTAATCCCAACAATATTGAATGAGATAGATAAGAAAAATTGGTGAAAATGACAACAAATAGTGTAGAAAATGCTGCTTTGTCCAAGTATAGAGCAAAACAATAACATTTAACCTTGGTGTTATTCATTTATGCATGACGTAGACATCGAACGAATTTTTCTCCTATTTGCACGCCAAACAAAACTTACAACATTTACGACGCGGCCGCGTTGCTGAGCGAACGCATCGCGCATTAAGTTATTTTGAGTTGTCACTAAATTTCGTTCCGTTCTACATTCCTAATTACGTTATATTGATGTCAATTCCGTGGACCGTCAGCCACAGCTGAGATATGGATACGCTTTATCACGAGCGATAAATGTGGAGATATAATGGACCCAGTGTTGCTCAAGAATAACAATGTTCAGTTTTGAATTCCTGAAGCGGTGGTACCATGGTGTGTTTTTGTGCGGTCTCTTATTCTATAAAGTTGTGACTTACACAATTATAATTATCATCATGTAACGTAAGTAAACACAAACATTTAAATATATTAATTCACATTGTGACGATTTTCAGATGGCGACAAAGATTCTGATGGCCCGTCAGAGAGCGGCGATAATACATCTGAATCAACACAGGGAGCGCCAAGCGAGCCTGCGCAGGAAAAAGGTACAGCAGGAAAATTTTATTTTAAAAATATCGGTATAGTTTTAAGGCAAACTTATGTATTTAATTTTTAAACCATAATCGTGACACCATATACTTCGGCTCAGGTATTATTTGTATGGAATAGTACAAATTCGAAATCGTTTAAGTAACTGTTATGAAGTTGTTAAAACACTATAAAACAGGGTAGCAAGTGATAGTTATGAAACAACACATTGTCGACATATTGGCGTCTGTTATCAGATCACATTAAACTCAACTCGTTATCGAGAACCTAACGAGTCTTTGCAATATTTTAACGACGCACTGCATAGCGTTCAACATTATGTTTGAGTACCTATATTATGCAGGTGCATGATAAAACACATTTTTATATTATACTGTCATTATCTATTACAACAGTTAGCGATGTCCCTCGTGATCAAGTACAGCGTTGTTAAATTACACCATCTATGTAAATAGAATATGGATTTACTGCGCATGTGTATATAAATTTACTATACTATTTGAACAAAAATTTAGTCCTGAGCACGGACAATATCATTTTGACATAGCATACAAATATCAATTACTTTAACACTGAGCACAAAGGCTTAATCAATTGTGACAATTGCTTAGTTTAAGACGTGTCATTGCCCTTTTCGTGATAAGGTGCAATAAAAAAGTTACATGGTATGATTTCAATTCCAATGTAACTTTTGATTTAAAAAACGCAAAGTCATCACGCAGAAATCAACATTTAAAATTCAGTGTGTTTAGGTTTTTGTTTTTTTGGTATTACAGAGATCCTGGACAGTTTGCGGCCCGTATCTCCAGAGGCTCCCTCGTGTAGCAGCGCGCCACAGCGCTTTCTGAAGATTAATGTCAGACATATTACTGATGGACAGGTCGGTAGCTACCTACTTCTGCTTTTTGAAGATGACAAACACCTAATTTCTTATAACTTAAAAGCATTATATTTCATTCTGTATGTTACTGCTGGCCCCTTCTTAGTATAATAAGAGGCTACTATAGACTTCGAAAATTGTGACAACTCAGATATGTAGATATCCTCGCCGTTTTTCAGTCACCTAAATACTAGTGTTTATATAACTAGCATGAGAAAAATTATCTAGTAGACAAGTTGAATCCAGTTAGTTATTATACGTTTTAATGCGCCCTTTATTGTTTAACTTGAATCTGGGCTATTAGCAGAGAATATGTAATATTACAGATACAGACGACACTCCGCAAAATCATTTAAATAAATAACGACTCTTGCTCTGACACAATTAAGTGCAAGTGGAGGTTTATTAGCATTGTGCGACCTAAAGCTCCATTCACCTAGAAGTATTTCCATCGCATTACTTATCTCCTTTAATGACATTAAGGTTGTCTTCTTTTTTGTACAGAATATTCTTAAATTATCTTTTAAAACATACTTTTTGCTTAGGTTATGGTAGGTATCTCCCAGAAGTGAAAATACTATTGATATAGCTCCTACTCGCCTAAACTTATCACAACTAACTTGAGCTTGGGATCCTTATTATTATTATTTACGTCCCGCTGCTGTCTATTATTGTGTTCTGCGCATCGAAATGCACGATGTACCGAGCCGCCATTAAGTTTGCATCGGACTATACTTGTGTAAAATACCCCGCGACACATTACATATTGCTTTAAAAAAAAAGAAAGTTGTTATAGTGTCGGTCGTATAGCTCGGTCATTGATTACTTCATTAGCTTTTCTTTTTCATAAAGAAAAAAAATTATTGATTTTTCAGGGGGTAGTATCAGGTGTGCTGCTGGTGACCCCTAACGCGGTAATGTTCGACCCGAATGTGTCGGATACGCTAGTGATGGAGCACGGACCCGAGTCGTACGGCGTGATTGCCCCCATGGAGTACGTCGTCAACGCCGCCATCTTCTACGACATAGCGCACATGCGCACACATGGACCTGACAACAATACGCACAAGTACATACCTTTTGTTAAATTCCCAACTTTAAATTGCAAAACCCCAGCCGATTGCATTAGCTTCACTCCCTATTACATGAAAAGAATTAAATTATAATTAAGTGTTATTATTAGGTATATGTAAAAATAAATTTGAAGGCAATAAAACAATAACATAAAATTAAGACCATTAACTATATTTTGCAGTTTTAGTAAAAATAATTTACAGTAGTAAAAAATAATTACACAATCTTACATTGAGCTCCTCTATAGTGGAATTTTACAGTTTACTTTACTTGTTGTAAACACTTATGACTAAACTAAATGCTTGTGTTATTAGTGGTAATCGGTAGTGCAATTAGTATGACCTTGTGACCATGTGATCTTGAGTCCAACGCCTGCTAGCATGCTTGCTAGCTGTAACGTTAGAGACGCTTCTACGATGAGTCTTCCTCTTCCTTCTGCATTATAATAGAAGAATTAACTTTACTTTGGTTAATCATAATATAAGGTGAATATTTTTACCAATGGAAAACTTGATAATGCAATTTATTAGTAATCGACGTACAAAGCCAAGCTGTGTTGAGAAGATATCACCATCTCACCTTATCACCGGTATCTGGTATCTGGGTGTTGTTATAAAGATGTTATTTTTCCATTCTGAATTTTATTCTCAATTCTGAGCCAATGTTCCGCCGTGAATGTATTATGAATGACCGACTTACGGTGTGATTACCAGAAAACCCTTACAAACTATGTCTACAGCTGCACAAAGACAGTACACTTATCCGAATTTCATTAGCAAATCCATCGTCCCTCTATTGCTTGTAGGGTTTTGGACCAAATGGAACTCGAGGACCCACAATATCCACCGCTCTTAATGATTTATTTACCTAATGTATATAGTGATGTAATGGCTGAGGTTATTAGTAGCACTACGGAGTTTAGGGTTTTGAATTCATTTAATATATACTACAACGTAAATCCACTATTTGCTCAAATATTTGTCTTGCTTGCGCGCACGCACATGACAACATAGTTCTAACAAAAGCAAATTATAAACAAATATTATAAATTTTTTTTTTTTTTAATAGATACTTTGTTTGTTTCAGAGCTGAACAAGCTGAAATCTATTACATGAATAAATCTGAAAATTCACCTGGAAAGGATTCTCTTCTAGTCAAAGTAAGATTTTATGCGGATTTTCTTCTTTATTTTTGGTTTTTTATTTTCTGTTGACAAGTTTTAATGGTATCATTATCAATACGAATAATTGTAAACATTTTTTCCCCATGGAACTTTTAAGTAATCAATTTAATTAATAACGGTCGTATTTTAGCAGCAGTAATCGCTTTAATAAAAAACAATAAAAGTGATTAAAAGTTTATTTATATCCAGCGACTCGCGTTCATACCCAATATATGTTTATAAAACATGTTAGATTTTCCTTTTATTATATTTCAATTCACTTCATTTTGGTATAATCGCTAGTTTATTAGCAATTTTTGTTTTAGTTGTAAATTATGTTTAATCGACATTATATTTTGATGATGTCCACCTTTGCACGATGGCAAGTTGTGATGCCGCTCTTGGAAAAAGTGGTTTTGCTTTTGATACTATCGAAGGCAACTTTTAACGGGCGAGCAATTCCTAAGATTAACACACCAAAACATAATTATGTAGCATATGATACTTGCATTATGGTTACTGAAATATTTGTAGGATGAAACATTCCCCGAGCTGCAGGCGGCGACCGGCGAGAGCGTCGAGGGCGCGGAGGGGCCGGGGCCCGAGGGCGCCGACGAGCGCGGCGGCGCTGCCTTCCCTAAGGCCTTTGATAGAGAACTCGTCACACCCACCGCTCTACAGGTATTATTAACAGTGTTATTACAAATCATAACTATTGTTTAGTCAGATTGCCGCTTGATTTTCTAGAAGCCAAATAATAATTAACTATATTGTATTAGTAAGTAGGTAGGTACGCTTAAGTTCTCCGCTCGAAGTCTCGAAAAGAACTGAACGTACATGTTTAAGCTGGCAGTCGCATTTCACTTCCGTTTCGTTTTATTAACCTCCCTTGGTAGTTATGGTTCCGGTACATACATTACCAAAGAAACTATCGCACGTATCCTCTGTGCTACTGCTTGTATATGAGTGATGAAATCAAAGTAAGTACAACAAAAGATTATAAGAAAACCACCGACAGCTAAGAACCATTTGTATGATATAATTTTGTTTTAAATTAACATTTGTCGATGTGTGGGATCGCCTAATCTTCTTGGGGTGGTTACTTTTCACCGTTAAGTAAATAAACAATAAAAAATATTTACATTATATTGAATATATATCACCATTTACTTTTATCGGGAATAACAGTAGGTGTAATCAATCAATCAATTTATTCATTGTTATTGTTAAAAAATATATCACACAAACATAGACAGTTTAGTCACGCATATAAATAATACCGTCGCAGTGTTTTTAATCTTATGGCATATTCTAGTAGAAAGATATATTATAAAAGCTACTAATAATAGCCATTTTGCATTTTTTGTAGCAACAAACTACCGAGGATAGACGAAAATCCTTACTCGATCAACACTGGGCTATTCCAAGCAAAGATAGGATGTCTATCGATCAAGGAAGCGAGGTTGGTATTTTGCGTATCTAAGATAAAAAATGCTTATATATTACCATTATAAAATATACGAATATACATAAATGTCGATGCCATTTTCTAACAACGTTATATTAATTTGAAAGGTTCGATTATTTATTTATATATAATCCTTAAACATCCTTTAGGACACTGGAATGGTCACCTATAATTTCATTTATATCAATACCTACCAAATATTAATAACATCGATAAATTTTGAAGTTCTAATTTAATACCTTTTTCAGGTTCTTTTTGTAATTCGTTATTTATTAATAGTAGACATTAAAATAATTATACTTCTTTACGAAGTTATGGGATGTTTTTGAAAGAGTTTAATTTCAATTAAAAGTTTTATCATAGAGAAATCATAATATCCTTTCGCAGGTGTCCTCTAGTGCGGATCCTTGCAAGGACGAGAGCGTAGGCGCGGAGGTGGAGGTTGGTGCCGTCGCCGACGGCTCTGAGGGCGGGGAAGTGCCCGAGGATGATGCACAGCATCTTGTCAAACTGTCCTACCACGACTCCGGCATCGACATCCGAGACCCACTACTCAATGCCAATGCCACACCTGCAAGCTCTAAGAAGGTTCGTATTTTTTTTTAAACAAACAACTCCTGCATTAGGAATAAGTATATCCTGTGTCGCGGGGGACTTTACTAACATACATACATGAAAGAATATACGCTAAGCTAGAAGCTTAGCGTATATTGTGTAATTGCCCCTTAAAACTTATAAACAATTTTAATTTCTCGTCTACATTTTTTTACAAATCGATACATTTTTTACAAATAGAGGACTGTGGATAGGAAATTTGTCGTGTTGAGTGTAAGTGCCTCTATAGGCTACTATTGACACAATAACAAACACACTTAACTGACATATACATAAATTTGCTACCAACTTTAGAGTGTTCAAAAACTTTTTCATTGGAGTGTTATTAGTATAGGACTCAGCGCTCTCGGTTGAGGTGTCCAATTGTCTTGTTAATCTAATTTATTACTTCAGAAACAGAATAGGAATTTCCTTAATAAGATAACGTCAAAGCAATTAGAGATACATAATAATTAGCCCCACGTTTTTGTTCCTCGATGTATCAAAGCCGTACTTTTTCCTCTTTATCGTTAAATTTTTTGTTCACTCCAGCTAAGTTACCAGGTCTGCTTAGCTCTCTCTGCAAGAAGATCCTATCTTCAGTTACCTTTATTAGTTGAAGTGCATCGGTATGTGCAATGTTGAACAAATTATCAAAGTTTGTAACAAACTCTTGTCGACACTTTTCGGATATATCTTGTGTATTGTTCGTATTTTTTGTAAATCTCTCCAAATTTAGTATAAGGAAAGCTTTAGTCGGTAGACGCGCATTTTTCTAATAATGAATGCACTTACAAATAGATCTAAATTAACTTTACGAATATTATAGAACAGAACTGCCAACACTTCTGTATTAGAGGGTAGTTTTATTTTACATCCCCTATTAAAGTATCCCTTTTAAAAAACTGAATAATGCCCTTTCTAACTTGACTAAACGAAAATATGTTTACTATCAAAACAAACAAGTAAAAACAAACACTTCGATACGTTAACTCTGACGCGCCAAAGTATGCAAGTAGTGCTGAGATGTGTCGATGCAAGTCGGCACGGGTTGCTTTAGTTCTAGGCATATGAAATTTTATTTATAAGAATTTTGCCATCATTCAAATATAATTAAAGATTTATGCGTTGGAAAAAAATACTTTTTTTGGGACACACTAATGTATTCTAGTATACAATTTACATTCTCATTTATTTTATAACTTAATTTTGGTCTTTTCTTCATCCGGAATATTCCAAAACCTAAGAATACCTACTTTGTGCAAATATAAAGAAAATAAAAAACCTTTCGTTTTTCTTGATATTTTCTATGCAGAGGCATAGGGCTCGCCTAAGATATCTTTTCCTTATAAATAGTCTTGACATCTGCAACGTAAGTGCTTCCACAAGGTTTTCGGGTAAATGTAAATAATAAGCATTATTTCTATTAATAATACTAACAATTGTGTTCATTCCTACGTACTTCGAATAAAACTATTCAGAAGTGACAGAACAATATTAAAATAGTTGTAATGTGTATTTATTTACATAGGTTATGGGCCTTTCATAATCCAAAACCGGAAAATGAAGTACAACATATTTTGTAGATAGCCCGTGGGGAAAACAGTAATGAATCCTTTTCAGAGTATATCGTTATACTAACCCGCATGATTTTCTAGGGATCGATGATAGATTGCGATGAGTATTACCATGTGATTGATACAATATACGAGTCTATGGAGTTGGAGATACCGAAACACGATAGATACCAGGAGGCGGCTCATCAGTTACATTGTTTCATAACTATGCATCGTAATGTGGACGCGATGTCTACCTCCTCACACGAAGAGGTGAGGAACGGTTGTGGGCAACTTCTAATATTCTCTTTTGGACTTTTGGAGTCGTTCAAATGGGCTAAGGGCTTGTGCTGTACAAAGGAGATGCATCGGGCTCTTAATTTCTCTGTATTCTTTTTCGATTGTCCTGGAGATATGCTTTTGGGGAGGTTCTTTTTCCTTCACTTTGATATTTTCAACTTCTGTATTATCTATTTTGTCTGAATAATAGGGGTTTTTATTCTTGTTGTTAAGGTTCCTGTCTAGTTTTGTAACAGATATATAAAGTCATCAAATACGACTTGTTTTTATTTAAAGGTAAGTTTATTCGTTTCTTGTAGTTTCTTCGAAGATGTGATTTTGTGGGAAGTGGCTAAGAGTAATATTGTACGTATTACATATGCAACAGTGCAATATCGATGAGCAAGAATTATCTTTAAATATAAAGTCTCTTGACTTGAGATCTCATTATTAACTAGTAAACTTAATAAGTACGTTTCGAACTGTCTTGAAATAGTTCATTGGTTAGTTTCCGTTAACTAATTCGACAGTTCTTTTAGTGTCTACAATGTTTAGATATTAAAAGAATCACACAGGTCGACTTGGTTAATACAGATTATTTATTATATTAAAAGAAGCACTAGAAGAAGTGGGTGTAGATTTTGAACCGTATTTATACAAAAAGCTGAATGCGTAACGGTGGTGTTAGGTGTACAGCGACGCGGACATAGTGCTGTCGGGCGAGTGGGTGCCGCCGGTGTGCCTGGCGCGCGGCGAGCCGCCGCTGTCGGCGCCGCCGCTGGGCGAGGCGGAGCGCCAGCCGCGCAAGTCCACCGCCGTCTCCTTCTCACTCGACGGTACCTCGCAGAAGGAGGACGCCAAACCGGATAAAAAGAATAAGGTTGGTGATGGTTGCATCTTCGCTCATATTATGGAGGGTATAAGCAAGGAGTGGCGCTGCGGTAGCCTAGGATGAAGTTATATTGGCTTAAATAATAATTAGACACTGTGTACTAGACTGCGAAAATAGTCAATGAATTTTACAGACAGTAAATAAACGTGTTATAACTTTCAACAATAAAAGTATTATAATATTTTTACTCAGCCCACTAAGATATGCACATAGCTGTTGTAGAAGAAGTGTTTACAACAGCTATGTGCATATCGTAGTTTTTCGTACGCCAGCGGCCCCTATTTTCAGTATACAGCTGGACACTTCGTTAACTTACCTCCCATATAAGATGGTTCTCCTTGCTTCTACACTCCAGAGCCCATATATAGCACGATTAATACTTTGGAGGAGGGTGTGAATTCTGTGCCTTTGGATTAGAATCGCTCTAAATAGTATTATCCTTGGGAGAGCCGATGCTTCGGTACATATGGGACGGCTTCCCCGTAGTCTTTTTTTGACCGGAACAGACCGAAGTCCGGCGATTTTTTACAAATGTGTATGCGAGCAAACACCCACAGGCAACAATAATCAAACAAGCCTGATCCATTTACCCAGGCGGATCATCACATCATCACAAAAAAACTTGTTGTTTCCGAGATCCCCTAAATTACTATTTAAATTATTAATTATTATATTAAATTTAGGTTTTTCTTGACAGATGCTGAAACGACTATCTTACCCATTATCTTGGGTAGAGGGTCTAACAGGCGAGACCGCTCCCGCCGGCCCGGCATCCCAAGGGGACTCACTACCCACATCAGCGGATAGCCACAACTCCACCAGCATGTTCTCCAAAGTATTCAACAGGTAAATGCCAACAAATCACCTTAATATATGTATTACAGTAAAAATCGTCGATGACACTGGTAATATGCGGGCACGTCTTAGTGCTTCAATGAAAAGTAATGACAATATATGTACCATTTTTCACATAGCACGAGTTCACAATTTAATCCCCAATTAAATAATGGATGAAGACGAAAGAATCAATTTTATGCAGAGAGAAAATAGTTTCAAGTAATAATAATAATGATACTCCAGACAGTATCGGCAATAAAAATATAAATCAAAATGTAATAATTTCTATGACAAAGAAATTGGATTTATACTTGTAGGTTTTTCGAAATAGCAATTAAAGGTGGAATAAAAAGGTAATTTTTTTATCGCTTCGAGTACATTTCTTGAACTGTCTTTAATTTTCTTAGATTTTATTTTATACAAAAATAAACTACTTGAAATGGTTAAAACCAAACGTCACAGAACTCATGCTATGTGACGAATGTGTAGATTTGCATATTATCAGGTTTTAAGCTTCAATATTGCCAAATCCACGCTACGTCAATTGTTCGAAATGTTAAATTAGAGGTTTTCTAATACAATTATTCGAATCCCCAAACTATTAATTGGAAGTCTTAATTTTGGCCTTTACGTTAAGTAAATTTTTTATCGATGTGATAGCGAGTCCTTACGACAGATATTATGGTAAAATATAGCAACTTTTGTTAAACAAATCTTATAAACCACCACTTAGATGGCTAATAAATATGCGTGTTGTTAATGAAAATAAATTTAATTTGTTCATTTGGTCGAGAAAATTTAAGCACATTAATTGACAATATTTGGCAATAATGAAACAAACCTTATCTAAGCCGAGCCGCAAAACATCACATCCACACTGTATTTTGTAATATTATGTAACAGCTGTCCATACAAAACTCATACATGTATAATGGATGCATTTATACCATTAGTTACTGCGCGGTACAGCTCGTCAGTGGCATTTATCACATTACAACATGTGTATATGTACAAGCACTTACAGAACAAATATGTTAATAATCGAGTTATAGACATTTTGTCATAAAATCATGCATTACTGGAATCCGTTCAAGCAAGGCGGTAGCCGAATAAATAAAAAATAAATTAATCGCAGACATCAGATCTAAACCTGCTTATGGTATGACAATAGAACTAAAAGCATCTTTGACGTACAAAATGTGGTATAGCTTTTGAGTATACTATATACATACTATTTACATGTCTACTAAAGATAATCGGACATTGTCCTAATCACTTTGAAGAACAGTCCCCTGTTTTCCGTAGATGTGCCCAGTACAGTTTATACTATTGTAAATTACGCTCTGTATCATGTACTTATATCGTATGATGTATGGTACGGGGCTCGTCTTTACCTAAATATTAACGGACAATTATAAAACATTATGTTGTAAAATTACAAGAAACCTAAAATCATACTGCTTTATCATACTCCTTAAAAATAACTATCTATACACACTAACAGGAATTAAAAATTCTAAATAAATGCTCTGGTATAAAATACTTTATTTCCTACTTAGAAATGCCATTGTACATAAAAGTCTGAATATTTAATTATTATTTGCTCTATATATACATATATCTATAGAATGCAATAAAAAGGAGCGCTACCTACACTGGCGCCTGCTGCCATAAATTAATGCTTCCTAAAGCATTAAAATCCCCATTGCCAGAGATTAAACTCGTGGCCTTTTTAATTGGATGACGTAATCTGTTTTTATCACTCGCGCGATCGTGTTATTCTAAGTATAGTCTTTATGATGTGTATACAAATATTTCACTTGCTACTGACAGCAAGACGATACTACCAACTTTCGACACACATATACACAGCTGGGATGACAAAATCTATTAATTTTCCTATCATACATTTTTCCTTGCTACCGTGGATGCTAACCGGGATTAACGCGACTCTGCTCTTTTCATTGGTAATTAGCTCACCAATGAACTTAGTGGAGTTCGGTACTGGTTTGTTCCTGAGTAAAACCCCTTCGGAAGAGGCGCCTCACGACGTGTTCTCGGCTCCGGGGTACGTGAAAACACGTTCCGCTGCAAAGTGTCGATGTGCCAAATATTGTAATGTGTTGCCTTTGAGGCTGTTCAAGACCACAACGCTATAACATACCAAGTTTATGAGCTGCAATTAATGCTTCGACTTACGTAAACGGCTTTTTTTTCACATTTTCGATCTATTTCAGTTGTTTATTGCACCAGTAATATTTATTCAGTTGTAGTTACCACAGAAATCTTGTTTTTATTAATATGAATTAACTTTAAACGTCCAGAAGCGGCATGTGTCTATGTATTTGTAAGTCAAAGCATTAAAGTCGTTGTTATGACGTGGTAGTCGCACTGTCTGGCCTCTTGTTCGTTATCACTCTTCTAGGTATTTCCACCGGCATAAATGTGTTTGTATATATGTCTGAAGTGGATTATTGGTTATCCAGAGTTAAACAGCATACCGTTATATAACATTTTTAACATATACTCCTTTTATAGAATATTACAGCATTTTTCAATAAAGCTTTCATTTGATCCTAAGACAACGGTAAACAAATAAAATACTTGAAAAGAATATAATTTTATCAAAATCGAACACGCGCGTAAATTGATATCGATCTAGACATCATATTGTTCATTCGGAATGACGTCAAGTCGGTAGTAAAACATTATTTGTTATATTTTTGATAAATTATAAATAAGATATCCTTATGATTGGCAATGGAATAAAAAATTCTTAATTTGCGTAATAAATTATAATGCACATAACATACAAGTGAATTAAATAATGTTTAAGAACATTATTTACATTTTGCTGCGTTTTTTACTGAGTTAATGACCTAATGTCATGACTGCGTTTTGCATATTTATAGAAGAGATAATAAAAAAACTAATGACTAAGGAATTAATTTTAAAACTGGAAGTAGCGTTTTCCGATGGCGCATTGCAAAAAACTACCTTACTATTTCATTATTACTTAAATAAAACGGTGTGCTGTTAAATTCTGTAATTTGAAATCCGTCATTTTGTTCTCTATTATTATCAGTTACAGAGCATGTTGTATATGTGTTAGGATAATTTAGACATCATATCCCTGATAATTATAGAATTATATCTGAGTACCGTATTGTCATCATTCATCGCAATAGGAAACAATGTATTCTAGGTTCACTGAACACTCATTCTATCCCTTATTCTTATCCTTATTATCGGCACCTTTGATATTATATACTGTTTTAGCATGTTTAGCTTAAGAAGTGTTTCTATCAAAATTGCAGCAAGATAATTTTTTTTCGAAAAATAACAATCCCAGAATTATGATCTTAAATTATTTACAGGTGCAGACAAACGTTGTTCTCTATGTTTAAATGTAAAGTTTTCGTTACAAAGCCACTGTATATTGTGCCTTAAAATATTCTTGAGTAAGAAATGAGTTTGATTGAACAAGGAAAGTTGTTAACTCACTACTTAGAATGAATATACTCTGTTCGCTAAACAAGTTTCGTATTTGTAGACGAAGTTCCCTGGGTGGTTTCGGTCGTTCGCACACAAAGTCCACGTCCAGCTCAGGGTCGCAGCCGCAGCAACCGCGCCTTGACTACCGCAGCATGGTCTCTGTAGATGATATGCCCGATCTCTTCGCGTCCTTTGACAGTAAGTATTATTACACTATTATCTTATACAGTAAATGAGACAAATAAGCGTAAACTCGTATAACACCATCATTTGGGCATTCTTAAAGTTGTCTTAAATCTCAGGAAATCCCTCTTAGTTCCTGTTAAAGTTCATATTCAGACATTTATTTATTTCTTTATTTATTATTTGTTCCTCTTACTATTGAACAATCTGTGTTATTTTATGCTCGAGTATATAAATTTGCATACGTATTTAAGGAATCATCACAATTCTAACATCTTCACCAGAACTAATACCACGGCCGGCTCGACCCAGCGATGACCCACCACTGTACTTGCGGCTGCGCATGGGCAAGCCAATCGGTCGCCCTCTGCCACGAACCACACCACTAATGAGCTACGGACGCAAGCGCATGAAGCCCGAGTACTGGTTCGGTGTTCCCAGGAACCGGTGAGTGTATATTCTGGACTCGTTTATATCATATTGTAAAAGAATGAAAGGAACTACAAAAAGTTAGATTATTCTATACATTCAATTGCACATAGTACATTAATATTTCCGGGAAATTATATCAATGTATAATTAAAAATCTATTAAAGTTAAAATTTCTAAATCCGCGGTAAAAACATGCCCTGCCGTCACACGCCAGTCGCAAGGCACACTCAAGGGCAAGAGGGGAGGGGGGGAGGGCAAGACCCCAAGATCATGACCTAACGTAATTGACATATGAAATAAAACAGTGCTGACGTTTATAAAGTGAGTTTCAATATTTTTGTTAAGATATATGAGATAAAATGGTTTATAAATGGTGTGTAGTGTCAAAATGTAAAAATACGTCTAAAACTACTCCACACAAACTGTTTGTTACTGTGCCAATGGATCCCAAAAGACGAAAAATGTGGTTACAATTAGCAATTAGCGATATTTATACAACTTCTTTCAGAATCTATGATAAAATAGAAATAACTAAAACACTCAACAACATAAAAATGCGCACTTAAAATCGGTAGAGGGAATCCACAAATTGATATTGTTTGTTTTGTTTACTTCATATCTGTTAATCTATGGTTCACTTTTGACACTTGTGACTATTGCGGTGTCGTCTCGTCACAGAAGTGTCCCAATCATAGGACGTTCCCGTCTAAAAATTTACACCTATTAGCGTGAAATAAAGTAAATAATACTTTTCTATCCTATTATCTAATAGAATGACCATAATTTGGAAAATATTTTCAATGTTGTCAAATAGCCTATTCTTGTGACATTTCTTTACTCAGGTATTGCTAAGGGCTATATAAAAACAGAAAGTAACTCAAAACATGAATTAATCTGTATACCACTATTACTACACGAATAAACAATCTTGAAAAAAAGTAACTCACAAAAATAAAAAGAAGATAATATTAGTTAGCTCATGTTTTTAGTTCAAGTGACAATGTAATGTTATGATCAATATTATGTCACTGTCATGCCAAATTAAATTAAAGTAGCCAATTTTAATGAAATATATCCACAATATGCATAACATAAACACTGTCGCCGATAAGCATGTTTCAATAATATATCTGAAAGTATTTTAGTTGGAAATCGGTTTTATTTCCATAATGTTTACATATAAAGTGCTAAACATACTCGACATGTCCTAGATTTGATAAGTGGCCGATAAGCATTCACTTTCTATCTTAAGAGCTGGTCACACGCTAACGTTTAACTTAGTAACTCGTTTTATTTCAGATAATCAAGTTTCAAATTATCGTAATGGATATCTTCACTCTAATAATTATCTGTTTCACTTGCTTATTTTGTTACCTTGTATATAGGGTGGACGATTTATTCAAGTTCCTCACACACTGGGTACCCGACCGGTATGGGCCTCTGGGAGACGTCAGCGCTCACGGCTACGAGCTCATTGATAGTGACACTGAATGGGACGACGATGAAGCTAAACCAGGCCAAAAGGTATGTCTACCTTACACGTTATCTACTAAATTCACAGCTTTTTATGCTCAATGTTATTTCCCTAAACATATTGTATTAATATTAAGACTAAAACTAATCATTGTCGTTTAAATACTGCCTGTGTTTCCAATGTATGAATGTAATTATGGATTGAAGTTCTATAGAAAATAACACGGGCAATTTCATGATGCAATAAATCTTACCATTACTAAAATAGTATGATGAGTATCTTATACTTACTTATTATGTGTCTTATCTATAGGAAAATGAATCCGGGTTTGCCCCTATCCTAGTTTAGGTGATACGTTTTGAAGGACACTTACACACACTTATATCTTTAGACTGTGTATGTCATACACAGTCTAATCTCCCATACTGACACAACATATAGCTTAAATCAGCGATGCCCTAAGTAAGGATTCAGACATTATCCTTTATGATATTATCAACATCACAATCTACTGTGAATATAATTTTATTTCGCATATGATGTATAAACCGTATTTTGGAGAATTTAGCCAAAACACAAACGGGCCAGAATTGAAGTGTTGATATTAAAGTATCAAAAATCTCTATAGATAATCGCTTATCACGACTACGTAAATTGTTTTGTTTTTTGCAATATGAATACAGATGACTTCAGATAGTTATTATTAGTATTATTAAACTAAACAGTTTTTAGATTGAATCTTTTGAGCACAACACGGTTCATTTGTACAACCGTAAAATATGATGCATTAAAGATTTATTCTTAAGAGTTAGACTAGTTATTAAACGAGCGGTTATTGTAGTTTAAAACCAAATCATAGATCCACTCTATGATGTGGTTCTTACCTTTCTTAGCCCTTTATCGGCCTATGCATGCAGAGATAGAGGTCAAATAATTACTACAAACTGTATCAGACTTTTTTATTTTAACTATGTACTAGATAAACCACCTGTTGGTTTCTGGGCTTTTTAATAAATCTATGTCATATTTTAAACAACCTTATCTTATTTACATTCATAAAACTCATCAGTCATCTAGATAAGACTTTTATGATGAACTAGTTTGTAATTAAATTTTATATACTGTATTCGACTACTAACATTACATAAGGGTTGGTTAACATGAACGTAAAGTGTTAGTTAATTTTGTTTCATATATGTATTCATCGGCATTTTTGTTTCATCCTCCTTTACATAAACTCTAAAATATTTGGCTCTTTTTGATTTGATGAAAAGTTGACATAGAATTAACTGAAATGTGAAATTAAATCGTAGTCAACAAATTGAAAACTTAGTCTAAAGAAGAATATCTCTCCTACTATGACAAAAGTTATCTTTATAAATTAATGAATAATTTGACATCTTTTCTATACGAATTGAAACCTGTAAACGTTCTGTGTTTAATTATTATTATGTAAGTACCTGGATGACAGAGCTTTGCTCGGTATTATTTATTGGTAAATTTTCTAAAAATGATACCTAGCTAGATCGAATAATCAGATTATACATATACATACAAGAATTGTTCCTTTAAAGGTATTAGATGGATAGCACTTTGTTATTGAAGAGTTGTTTCATTGACAATAAACCAACTGTGAGTTAGAACCTAAAGTGTAAACTAAATGTAGAATTCTGTAAAAAGTCATTATTAAAAATAATAGTGGTGAGATCAATTCTACGTCCTCTACCTTTTTTGCCAGTCCGTGATCACAAAGTATGGGAAATAGTTGTAATAAAAATAAGTTTCGAAAACAATTACATTTATCTTGTTTTTATCCAAACCAACGTACCATTATCTAACTTAATTGCAGCCTGTAATTTTAATGAGGGAAATCCATGTTTATGAATAAGAGGAGATACATCAATGTGAAGTAGCGTATTTTAACATAGTTCTCATTTCATTGCCGTCACTAATGATTCATGACTTGTAGGACGAGAGGACCGGCAGCACCGGAGACGTGTCCGACCTCACTCGCGAGTCATGGGAGGTAAGTCTCATCATATGTAATATTACACATTTTTTTTACATTATTTACATATTACATCAACTTTTTACATACACCGTTTTATTAACAAACGCTTTTAACACAGTTATCAATGACTATGCATCTCACTCTCACATACAGTACACATTGAACATTGATATATTTTATAATTCTATTATCACCAAGAAAAGTTGTCATTGACAGTAAAATTTACATAAACCTCTGAGCAATAAAAAATGTCTATTACAGGCTTATATAATTAATATAATATCCATTTTAAATACTCATACGGTATATACATTTGTTTTTATATGCGTCTGTCGATGCCTACGAGTATACCTTATACCTTTTGAGGCACCATGAATAGGAATGTTAGTCGATTATATTAGCATATGACGGTTCGCATTATTGAGAGCAACGTAGACTGAATATTTATGATATTCCATTTGAGACGTGACAGAATCAAACCGTTTTGTGGACATGACTAGGTTTTTTGGTAAGCGCAAAACGTGTTGCTAATCATTTTATACTTGACTATCAAAAATAGTGAACAAAAAGATTTGAATTTGTTTACACTTACAATTAACAAATTTCGTTATTAGTAGGTATATTTAATTTATACCTTACTTTTTTGGACCAGTGTGTAAAAAAAATGCTGATTTAATATTAATAAAGTTTTTAACAATATTATGTGAATACTTCGAAATATTAAATACAAAATAAATTGCATGTTTTCGTGGTTAAATTACGTCATGATGCCCATTTTCTGGCACTTCTTAACACAATACAAATTTCAAACACCTTAAGTCACCAAAATATAAACCTACGTCATCTAAAAGTGGGAAACTTACGTCCAACTTGCTGTGTCTAATTAATACAGTATGTTCGTTTACAATTGTTATTACAAAGAAATACCAAAAATTTGTAACTAACTTTAATTACCCAGTACCACCGTGAAAACCCCAAACCGGAACAATAACTCTTTAAACTTAATGAGTATCATAGTTTTGCATTATAAATCAGCCAAGGTTCAGATCTAAGGTAACACTAGCCTTTAAGTGGCTGCAGATTTCTGATAATAAAATGTTTTCTGATACAGTGTACCCGCATTTGTCAACTCCATAATCATAGTTACAAATTGGATGAATGCGGTCAAATGCGTTGCTGTTAAGCTTCAGCCACCTACGCGAATGTACCGTAGCGTTGCAGTCCAAAATACAGTAAACTAAATAAAATCTGAAGGTGTAATTAAATGTCAGCCCTGTTGAATGTATACAATTAAATCTCCTATCTCGTTACACACTGTGTCGACACACGCTGTTACACAAAATGAGTTCAAAAGAGTAGTAGAAGTATTTACAGCAATTACACAATATTGTTAAATGCTAAACAGAGGTCGCGTCGTGCAACCGCCGTGTTTTGACCTTAACTTTATTCTAATTCTTTTTGTAACAATTCACTTTTCTTACTCTTCACTGTATTTTCAAGTTTTAAAGCAAACGAACCAAGTTTTTTTTTACTCGAATGATATATTTACTCAATACTAGAAACAGAAACACGATGGCAAATACTGCACACCTGAAATGCGTACATAGTGTAAAGTAATGTGTTGAAATAGCTGCTGAAGGCGCCCTACGTGAAAATATACTCTATAATGAAGAGCCAGGCTGAGGCGCTGGGCGAGTCGCTCGGCGAAGAGCCGCGCCAGGAGGTACAGCACTAACTGAGATAGGCTGAATATGACATTGCTAGAACAATATAACAACATATAAGCGCTTAAGTTTTTTTTAACATTATAAATATTCATACGGAACGTACTGCGTAACAGTTATGAGTCAAGAGTGTGCTATAGTCTGTTAACAATAAATTTTGGAACGTATAAAATTACAGCGTTTTTAATGTGTGTATAAATGAATATCAAAAGCCGAACCATCTGCTTTTGTAAACGGACTGCAATTCTCTTCAGTCAATTAAGTGCTTAATAGGTTGAGATAATGTGTTTTTTTATTCATTGAAATTTTTAGTAGTTTTAATTACAAATTTAATTAAGTTGTTACGCACTCCCACTCATTAAAACCGTTAGGTCATATAATGATGTATTTGATGAAAAAGAATACGTAATCATCTACAGCATTGAACACCACAAATAACTATAAAGTAACATTTATTGGGAACTTAGATAATGTCATATTCAGCCTTTGTACATACTTACTTGGTAGTGTGAATGAAACACACTATGCTAGTGAAATGTTAACGCACTGCCCTTAGATTGCATCCGAAACTCGTAGTAAGTGTGCGACGTTCGTTGTAGGACAAACATTAAAATAAGTTAGAAAACTATCACTATGTTGTTAGTATGCACATTAGCTGTGTATGTTTTAGTTGACATAATACACCTATAGGACATTGCACTACATCTTATTCTAGTGTGGATGAATGTTGTTTGTAAATGTTCGACAGCATGTTTAAACAATTTCAAGGCTAATCGAGCAGTAAGCATAATACTCTTTTTATGATATTTATAGTTTGACGAATCATTTTTTTATTTATAAACTAAACCATATCTGTATACCATAAAAAGTGTTCTTCCTATCTATCTTCATGTTATTAAGCTGTGTAGGCAAAAACATTGTACCCAACTATTTTTTTTGTTTGTTAAATAATGGTATTAAATATTCACCTATTTTTTGTTTGTTGAGATACACATACAACGCTATTCGTCACATGTGTGTTTAAATATGGTACAAATTTGTTTGTTTGCGCGACAAACTCAATGCAGGTCTATGACTGTAGGCTTATGAAACCACTCCGGCGGAACTTTTATCGCACACCTGTTTATCGTACGTATGATTTATGAGTTTTATGATTTACATCAATATGATGATAGGCTTTTCAATAGCAGCGCTCGAAACTTTACAGTGTATGGCTGCCAAGTTGAACAAAACTATTTATTTACTGTTAAGATTAAGCACAGACTACAACGCAACTACAGGATTAAATGACTTCATTGAAAAAATCATATTAATACCTTAATGATCATTTGCCATTTTTTTTGTGTCAGCTTTTTAGTGACATATATTTGAAAAATAATACTTTTTTGACTTTATGATACAATTACATATTAACATACACTTTTTTTTACATTAAAGTATGTTGCTTTATAGTTGACGGATTTAAATCAAGTCTTACAAGTATTGTAATCAGTAAATAATAATCAGCTAGCTAGCTAGCTATATCTCAACAAGAATGTAACATGAAATAAATCATAATGGAAAAGGAAAAAAACCGGTGGGCACAGGCGATCGAGACCAAAGGAGAGGCTTGTGCGGCGAGTTTGGTGATAGCAAAGGCCTTCGGTCCGGTCTGGCATAAGGCGCTTCTCTTGGGCTTCCCGAGAAATTATGTAATTGGGTCACCAGTTTCCTTGCGGGCAGAAGCATTAAGGTCGTTGTCGCCGGTGCATGCTCCGACTTGAAATTCGTAAATGCTGGTGTCTGTGGGGACACCAGCATTTACGAATTGCTAGGCAGTGTGCTATCACCCATACTGTTTCTTCTGCATATCAATGACATGTTGCAAACTAGTAGCATCCATTGCTATACAGATGATAGCACGGAATATGCCCTTTACACCGGCCGCCCAAATATTTCTCGGGAAAACGTCATCGAGAGTCGAAACAAACTTGTGACTGAAATTGAAACTGCCTTAGCAGAGGTTTCAGATTGGGACCGACTAAATCTAGTCCAGTTCAACCCAAAAAAGGACACAGGTCTGTGTGTGACACAGCACCTCCCTAACAGCCTCAGCCAGCATCAGAATCCTAGGCATCGACATATCGAGAGAAGGCCAGTTTCGGGGTCACTTAGATGGTAAGGTCAAATTTGCCTCGAAGAAGCTCGGTGTGCTGAACAGATCGAGCCAGTATTTCACTCCGCCCCACCGCCTTCAGCTCTATAAGGCGCAAGTCCGGTCGCATATGGAATACTGTTCTCATCTCTATGCAAGGGCACCTCAGTACCAGCTTCTCCCTCTGGACCGCATCCAACGAAGAGCGACTCGAATCGACGAAGCTCAAACATCTCCGATCGGCTCGATCCCTTGGCGTTACGTTCACTCTGCATTCTCTTTCGCATATATAATTGTTCGGACTAATACCCTCCACAACTTTCCGGACCCACACGACCTTCAAACCTTCGTAAAAGACGTCCATGGGCGGTGATGGTTACTTTCCATCAGTTAACCAGTCTGCTCGTCTGCCCCCTCGAACATAAAAAAAAGGAATTGTATAACGATTAAGTATACAAGGTCGCAGGGTTGATTCTACATAATTATTTGTTTCCCCAGCTCCTGAGTTGAGTTGAATGCAACGAAGTTTTATACCAGACAATAGTGTTTATTGTGCAAGAATTTAAAACTACTAACCAGAGCCTCTTTGACCGTGTTCTGTTGCTGCACTCTGTGGTTATACCAAGTATAGCTCGTAGGAACCATTTTGGCACAATATTTGGTGAATTTCTGCATTAGCAGATCGTTAATCACTTTGTTGTATCCAAGATTCGTTACGAAGTCGTTTTCAAGCCAAACATTTTGTAAATATTTTGATTACGTTGAAAATGTTTGAAAGTAAGTTTTCCATAAACTAGGTAACTTAATAGTTGTTGTATTACAAGTAGTAATATTAAAAGTGGTAATCGCAAAAGTTGTAGGGTCCAGAAGTCAATGTTAATCTTTCGACGTACAAAGATTTATAATAGAAAAAAATATCTTTGAAATTTAAAGAATTGAATCATAAAATGAGAAACGATTTCACATAGACTATTTCATCTCAAGTTTAGAACTACGACGACCAAATTACTTGTCCTCTGTGGAGCGACACAGACGTAACATGTCATTAATCCATCTGATTATGAAGCCCATAGGTATAGTTAGTATTACGTTATAATAGCACGTGAACAATGGGCCAACACTGGCTACGAATCAACAATGGCCATATAATCGGCCCT